GATTCTAATTAATTTAAAAAAAGGTTAAGTTGATTTGATTTTAATTAATTAGAGAAGAAAAGTTCATTATATTAAAAAAAAATCAAAACAAAATAATTTTAAAAAAAAAGAAAGGATGGGCCTGAAGAAGTAAATCTTGGGGGTGCTGGAAGAAATTCGCTTGGGCCCAAACATGCAAACCCAGAATTTATGAACAATCCAGTGTAGCTGGCTCCAAGATATCCATAGTACGCGTGCAAATCTGGGATGCTAGATATGGTCTTGTGAATATGTGATGGTGATGAGATGAGGCGTATGGTGAGCGCGTTAGGCTAGCTTGCATTGAATCAGTAACCAAGAAAAACATTTGAAAAAAAGATTAAAATACCAGGGGCAGGCATCGAACCCGTGCCCTGGTATACTAACACCTTAACAATGCTCGCTTTTACCGCTGGGGCGGCTTTACATCCATTAACATAATTGAAATAATAAACACATAATACGAATTTGCATGCATTGACCGGAGAGGCGCCAGAGCCCTAGCTCCGGTCATCTTTTTCGGCTATCCTTTTTATTCAAACTGCGAAACAAACACCATTAGACAGAAAACAATACCCTACCCCCATAAATTGAGGGCTACGAATCCAATGGAAATATTTTGGAAGTCTAAAACGCAACGATCTGGCTGTTATAGTGAAGATGACACGAAATCGGTGTAACCATGGTATCTCCTGGTTTCGGCTGTATGGGGTCACAACGATGACTCAAACCTGCATAAGGATATCTCAGAAGCATGATAAAGGCATTAGCATGGCTTAAATTAAAACAAAAATCAAGATATGAATTGTATGATCATTATGCAACCGAAGATACTATGCGATGAGATTCCATGCATTTTGAATCACAAAACTGATCCAATCTTACCATGTATGCTTGCTAAGAGTGAATAGAAAGGTTGTTTTTAATGAGAGGGTTTAGAAATCAGGTTTGAAAGACTTTAGGATTCTTGAAAGATATTGAAAATTTTGACAAGTCTTTTAGAGGCAAGCATTTGTGTTCTACATCTTGTGTTTGTTGTGCTTTTATAGAGGAAAGAATATGTCAACAAATATGGCACAAAATCATGCAATCATGACCAAAATTAAACAAAAATAAAACATGTTTTTCAAGCTTCCATCTTTAGATATTCTTGCCATATTTGAGCTCACACGGTTTAGGCATGTTCTCATGAGTTGTCTTGGGCCTCCAACTGATCCAAAAACTATCCATGCGCCTTGATCCAATTGTCTTGCATTTTATTTAATTTATTTTGTATTTAATTGAATAAAAACAAAATAAATATAAATAAAAAATAAGGTAAGGCAGGAATGAGTTTAGGAGTCTTCTATAAGGTCATGGACATGTTTGAAATCTAAAAAGTTAAGTCCACTAGTTTAAAATTTCAAGTTTGCTCACTTTGCACTTCATGCATTTTCTCAAAATTTCCCAACTTGCATTGATCATAACTCTCTCAATTTTAATATTTTGAAGATGATCTTTGACTTTTTGGAAGTCTAAAGATATCTTTTTCAATTTCTCTTTTGATCCTTTTCGCGTTTGGAAAATTTATCTTGATGTAAGTGGCTTGACAAAAAGTATCTTTTTGTTGACTTTTGAAATTACCTATAATGTATTGACTCATATCTCTCAAATGAAGCATTTTTTGGACTTGAACATAGAGATACAAATTTGTGGAGAATTGAATTTCCTTCAAAATGGGCTTTGGTTGGGGAAAAGTTGATGAATCATGTAAAAGTTATGCTAGGTCAAAGTTCATTTGACTTCTCCTAAGGAAACCTTGATTTGTCAATTTTGGACTTTTGATGATTTGAGGGCTTCTCTTGAGGAATCATGATAAACCCTTGATCAAATGATGAATATTACTTCAAAGTGTTTATGTTGACCAAAAATCTTGAAGTTTGACTGTATATTGACCACAATTGACTTTTTACCTAATACAGTTAATTTTCAATCATCTGGGCAACTGACTGAGCAAACTTGTGATGCAAGGCTTGAAAGTTGGCATGAGCATTCTTGAAGACACATGAAGAACCATTAAAACCACTTGAGACCTTTGAGACCCAATCTTCCTTGAGAAATACAAAACCCTAGTTGGGACCCCTTGCTTAGGAAGAGAATTTGTCTGATCAATTTTTGAGCCACTTTGAGCAAATGAGGATCTCATGAGAAAGTCCTGAAGAAAAATGGGAGGGAAAATTTTGGGGTACAACAGATAACAATTGGTACCACATGCATATTGTATTGAGTTGTATTCGAGTCACATGTGTCGATGTGAAATGTGTATTTGGTATGCATTATGTAATATTGATGTGAATGTTATATTTGTGGTATTTGTGATTGATTACCTTTGAAATATGAATTGTTGAGCCAAATTATATATGTAAACATGTGAATTGGATTGGATAATGTTGAATACATGAATATGTGAAGTGTGATGAATTCAATTGATGTATGTATGTTATGTATTACTTATTATTATACATTTCTATAATGATATGGTTTCTCACCCTTCTGTTGAAATGATGTTTTATACGACATCGCTCAGGTACCGAAGGTAGTGGTGCTTCTTGCGAGGATTAGTCGGAGGAGCTAGTTCTTTGTCTATCCGCATTTAGGTAGCGAGTCATACTCTAGTTATGTAACACGAGGAAACGTTTAAACTCATGTTGTCTTAAGAGATGTTTTGTTATACTCGCTTTTATATTATGGCGTAATGAGATTATGTAATGAGTGGACATTAGCGCATAATCTTTTAATACATTATTTCTATTATGAGAGTCAATTATTGATATCATTTTGAAAAGAGAATTATTCTGCTGTGATATGCATATGTGTTAGTACATGAAACGTGGTTTTAAATGTGTATTTTGAGCATGACTGATGTATTTGTGTTGGCCTTGAAATACATGTGACTCCCTCTTTTGATATGCATGCTAATTTACTCGGATTATGCCATATTATTGCGCGGGGATTTATAGAGTGTTACACACAACGCCTCACACAAGAGATCTATAAGGGAGAATATTTAATAAGTCGTCTTTAATCTAGTCTTTGAGGCATATATGTATATCATATTTAAACAACTAGATTAATGCGTAGGATATTAGGGTCATAATCTCATAGTGGTGTGTATGACCATATTTTATTGGGGGAATGGTCAATGAATCACCATCAAATTTGTAGCATGGTGCAGTTTAAGAAAACATGTCATTCCTTGAGGTGTACATCTCAATCACACCTCACCTGACCCCGCTTCACTAAGAAACATGGTGGATAACTCACCACAGAAGATGTAGTGCGACAAGGTGTCGTTATGACTTGGTGTGCACATCACCATGTCTATGATTATTTAAATTTTTTCTGAGCATTTCACATGTCTCGAAGAGAGTATATCGAGGTCTCTTGGTATTAAGTGAGCTTGGTTCTGTATATTTTATAATAGTCTACATTCCCTCAAGTACGAAGTCTGTACGAACAAAATGGTTAATGAAAAACATAATCCATTCATCATTTCAGATGTTGGTTTCAAAGTATTTCACAACCTAATATTAACTTATAATTTCAACATGAGCTCTTAATATTGATATGATCTCAAGTATTTACTATGATGATCATATATTGTAACTTTGACCTTTTTGACATTTTTGTAGGTGCATCATAATCCATTGAGTTCATTCAACTTGTTTTAAGCGAGATAACACATTTATTCAATGAATACATCTCAACTCTGCGATTTGATTTAAATAATCTCATATATGGGCCAAATGATCAAATATATCATTATTCTCAAGATTATATTGTCATTCTTATTAAAAATTACGTTAGTTTATCTTTCCTTCATTACTGAAAATTTAACAAATTTTAATTATGTCATTTGTATTGAAGATTGTCGGTGAATGCACATTAACTCAATAAATTTAAGTAGATAATCTCATATATCAAATGAAATGATCAAATATTTTGTTATTCTCACGATTATCTTAGGTGAGGTCTATGCTACCCCTTATAAAATTATGGGTAATTTATCCTTAGTAATCTATACTAATGAAATTTTATCATTTAAAGTTAATTTTTAAAATCAAATATTAATCTAAAACTTTAAGATATTGAGTCTGTCTTTTCTCATTTAAAAAAATTAATATCCTTTTTTCTATTTAATGTGAGAATCATTACTCACACTTAAATTACTAAGATCTTACTATTTAAAAACCAAATTATATATTATTATTTTTATTTATTTTTTATTCTTTAAGGTTTTAAATTAATATATAATTTTAAATTTTAAATTTATATAATAAAATTTAATTGATATAAGTCATACGAAGTAAATTACTCCTAAATATATAAAGAATATCAAGAAGTTACTATTATCTTATCATTTTTAAGGGAGTAAATCAATGGAATGGCAATAAGCAATTGAAAAGTCCAAATTACTAAAAATAAAATTGGAGGGTTCCTACTTCCTATTACGCGTTTAATAATTGGGGGAAGATTTGACATAGATATTTTTTAATTTCTAGTTTGCAACCATGTGGCTTATGTGAGAACATGACATTGACAGTGCCACCATCCTCAAAATCATTCTTTCCCCTTCAAAACACACTTCCTATTTATTCCCTTAACCAATGTAACTCCACAACACAAACCTTTGTTTCTTGTTTCATTCCAACACCGTTTCTTCTTTGTCACATGTCTCAAACCCCTATTGTTCCTCAATATTGTTTCATAATCTTTGATCTTCATTCTCAACCTAAACTTCAATTATTCATCTCTTATCACCTCCCAATAATTTGATTCCGTTTATTCCGTTACATTCCCCTAATCACAAAAACAAAAACAGATAGGTCCTTTATTATTTCTCTTCCAAAATATTCCCGGAAAATTCTCTTGGCAAAATCAACTCAACCAACCCCATCTCTTTAATTCCTTTGATTCTTTCAAAGTTTCAATCTTTTTCGCAAATGGGTGTCAAGGGTTTCGTTGAAGGAGGCATAGCTTCCATCATTGCAGGATGTTCAACGCACCCTCTTGATCTCATCAAGGTTCGAATGCAGCTTCAAGGAGAAACTCAAACTCACACAACGAATATCCGATCAGCACTTGCATTTCAGCCTGGTTCCGTTCACCCGTCGCCAGCGGCGATCAGACCAACAAGACCACCTCGCGTTGGTCCTATCGCCGTTGGTGTTAGGCTAGTTAAACAAGAAGGCGTGGCAGCACTTTACTCCGGCGTATCCGCCACTATCCTCCGGCAGGTTCTCTACTCCACCACCCGTATGGGACTCTATGACATGCTAAAGAAAAAATGGTCCGATCCGAATTCCGGCGGTGGTTTTACGTTAACAAGAAAAATAGCAGCAGGGCTGCTCGCCGGCGGGATTGGAGCAGCGGTAGGAAATCCAGCTGACGTAGCAATGGTCAGGATGCAGGCAGACGGAAGACTTCCGTCCACTCAGAGAAGAAACTATAAGTCCGTCGTGGATGCCATCACAAGAATGGCAAAAGACGAGGGAGTTACTAGTTTATGGCGTGGTTCATCTCTTACTGTGAACCGCGCCATGCTAGTTACCGCCTCTCAGCTGGCTTCCTACGACGAGTTTAAGGAAACGATTCTGGCAAAGGGATGGATGAAGGACGGGCTTGGAACCCACGTGACGGCTAGTTTTGCCGCGGGTTTTGTGGCGGCTGTTGTGACGAATCCTGTGGACGTGATCAAAACGAGGGTGATGAATATGAAAGTGGAGGCTGGATCGCCGCCGCCGTACTCCGGTGCGGTTGATTGTGCTCTGAAAACTGTTCGCGCTGAGGGTCCTATGGCTCTTTATAAGGGCTTTATTCCTACGATTACGAGGCAGGGACCGTTTACGGTTGTTTTGTTTGTTACGTTGGAACAGGTTCGTAAGGTGCTTAAGGATTTCTAAGCTCGATGATGATGATGACGAATAATGTTTTGAACAACGTTAATAATGTCTTTTAGAGAGATTTTTATTTTAGTTTTTATTAAGATTAATATATGTTAAGGTTGTTTGTTACCAATTGCGACTCAATTGAAGATATGGTTATAGTAATGGTGTTTGGAATATGAGAATTTACTTTATTATTTTCCTCCAAGTAGAAGGGAAGCACAATTATATATTTTGGTCCCTTTCTTTGAAAAGTTGTTTTTAAAGTAGATGGTATGATCACGTTTGGAATCCAATGTATATATCTCAAAATTATTTTTCATGTTTAGGCTCATGATTTTGCGTTGTCTAATTTCAGCTCAATTTTTTTACCATCATATTCAATTTTTAGATTTCTTCTATTTCAGGAAGAGTTTTGTGCGGTCTTAAAAAAAATTAGATGATTTATTTTATCACCTTTTCAATCATAGTTTTGTGAATGTGTAGTGATATCCCAAGCCTTGTGATCAAGACATAGGATTTAAGTCTATTTTTTCCACAATGATAAATGCTAAAGTGCATTTTTTTCCCCAATAAATAAGATGATGACTTAGAGCACCAAGTGGTATATATTCATAAAGTCTCTCATTGCTTTTAATGGAAATAGTGATAGTGTAGTTAACCTAACGTGCACGGGTTAGATAAATTCATTTCAGCTACAATTTTTCTTTTTAATAATTACTTATAAAAATACATTTGAAAATGACATAGTGAAAGGTTTAAAGTAAAAATACTTTCATGTCAAGTATATGATAACATAATAACTGTATAAAAATATATTTTAATTTATTTTATAATGTTTGAGAATATAAAAGAAAAGGAAATAATCCTTAACATGTATTCTCTCTCTACTATTTTATAATGTTTGACAATATAAAAGAAAAGGAAATAATCTTTATTTTTGTTAACATGTATTCTGATAGAGCATGATGTTATATAGATTTAAGTAAGTTTATGAGTACATGTAATATTTTATTTTGGTTAGGCTTTTATTATTATTGTTGTTTATTCGGGCTTTAGGTCTTTTATCTCTCTATCTATTACCGTACTATATATGTACTCTTCCATTGAGAAATTTGAGATTATTAAAGAAATGGAATGAATAGTTAACTTTTTATCTTTTTCTTAGCTTTAGAACATTAGGATTTCCTATAATTTTGATATTGTTCTCTTTTAGAGTTATCAATGGGTGCTTTCATTGAGAGATCTCATTCTTCAACATTAAATGTCATTCTGGTATTTGATGGAGAAGAAGATTCATATTGGTGGGTACTATGTGTTGAAAATAATTTCAAAGAGTAAGGAGTATCATAAAAGATGAATTTTCCAAAAGTTGTGACTAAATTGCATGGTCATGCTAGTTAATGGTGGTTTTGGAGGTTTCAACTTCATCCACCGTTATGTTTGGATATGTTCACCACTTTATTTCTTTGATATTTTAAACCTGAATAGCAAGAAATTTTGTCAATGGAAGAGGAGGAGGAGGAGCAAAATCTGAAATCTATGAAATCCATTGAAGGAACTTCCTTCCTTGAAGATCATGCACCAATTCCTACACTTGAGGGAGACCAAATCGATTTGAGTGCCTCATCAATTCCAAATCACAAACGGAACTATTTGTCTTCTTGTTCACATCATTCTGAAACCACATATTTAGCATCTATAAGAATTCCCACGACTGAACTTCCTTCCAATAGTGGATATTTTCACGGTGTTTACGAAATTCCACCAAAACCTCCTTATGCTATTTCTGAGATAGAAAGAACATACAAACCCTGAGCCTTTGCGAAATCAGGTGGATTCACCATTTCTCCACCGCCAACCTCCGATACCACCGTTAAACTCTTGTCAGTTTTGGATATGTTGTCATCGTCCATTCTGAAACAGGGAAAGATTCATTCTCCTTCATGCGAGTCATTTCCATAATATTATGAAATTATAGATTTTGAATCTCATGGGCGAGGATCAAATCAGCCACAAAGGGTTTTGTTATGATATCGATTTTACGATTCCACTTAAACCTCCAGATTCATGCTTCTCGAAGGCCTCTGTGAAATCCCATGATGCAAGGAGAAAAATTGATGCATTCTGTAAGTCTATCACCTGTTTTGCAAAACCATTTCATTTAGAGAGTCATCTTCTCGATCGATTAATTTCAATAGTTTCACCAAACTTCACTGACGATGCCTATAAAAATCCTCCACCACCACCAAAGCCACCAGACTAGCTTGTTTCATCTTGGCGTATGAATCACGGTTGTCAAACTGGTGTTGCTCACATATGTGGAATCGTGGAGACGATAGCTCTGCAATTTGGTCAAGTATGCCGGTGTCGATTTCCTTTCTGGTGTTGAAATGGCCATATGGCCAAGCTTTTTGCTGGCCATGGGTACCGTGGAGCACATGGTGTTATGGTATTTCTATTTTATATTGGAATCAAATAGTATCGAAGATGAATGGGAAATTTTTCTCCAACAATATGAATCTTCTAACAATCACTTAAGTGTTACAAAGTTTATGTTCACAACAAGTTTTCTTGTTCCAAAAATTGTTTGACAAATTGTCAACAAGACCAGGTTGCATTATCTCTGATTTGGGCATTCCTTAGACTTCTCAAATAGCTAAAAAAATCAAATTTAAAGGATTTGATTCCATTTGTTCTAGTTTAAGTCTCCATTGCTTGTTCAAGGTGTATTCTTTAAAGATTCTTAAAAAGTATCAATTTAAAAATAGAGTCTGCTCGTGGAATACCTGATAAAATAAGTAAACAAAGAATATATACCAGGGCCATCAACATAGATACTAAATGAATTTTCTCTGAAAATGCAAGAAGCTAAAATAAAATCATATGGTGTAATAATAAATTGTTTTGAGGAGTTAGAGAAAGATATTTTGACCAGTGGTTTTTACATAGTTAATTACAATTGATGTCAGTGATCTTTTCCTTTGATTGTCGAGTGTTTTATTTCAATTTACCATATTTTATGCATTGGTTGTGTGATTTACTGTTTTTTAGGTTCAAGGGAATAAATCGGGATAATTCAGGGCAAAAAAGTGCAAAAACTCGGAGTTTCGGGGAAAGTAAAAAAGCCATCTATAAGAGGCCTGACACGACCACCCGTGTCACCTGACGCAGGCTGTGTCAGGATGGGCGTCATGGAAGAAGTAGGAAGCTAAGGGGCTGACACGGGCAGTCGTGTCACTTGACACGAGCTGTGTCGGCTTTCCTGGGACTTGAAAAAGAAAGTATAATTCCAGATTGCCAACACGGACGACCGTATCACCTGACACGGGCCGTGTTGGCCAGTGACGCTGATTTTGAGTGTTTTAGTGATTTTTCACTATTTGTGACCCGGAGGGGCATTTTGGGCATTCTCGACCGAGACAAATGAATTGTTTACTATTTAGATGATTTTTCACGATGAATTAGGTGAATTTTTGCAAGCAAATAATAATTTACACGATTGAAGATTGGAGAGACAAAGGTGATTGGAAGGCAGAAGATTCTCATGAGCGGAAGCAATTGAGGATCGAAGCTATCCCAATATTTGTAATGTCTAATTTTTATCTTGTAGCTATTTTGAACAATATGAGTAGTTAAACCCTCAATGCTAGGGGTGCCCCTGATTTTATTCCGTAAACAACTTTGATTTCAAATTTCTTTAATCAATGTGTTTTCATATTCAATTCAATTGTCCAATTTTTTATGCTTTCTTTGTCGGACCAACAAGAATTGGTTTACGGTTAACAATTAGCTGGACCACGGTGATTAAGGTTTTTGTACGATTAGACTATAGTAGATATCACCTAGGACTAGGGATACCCTATAGTTACCGGTTAACTCTTGATAAAACAAAGGCTTGATTTCAGCATAAATCTCTAAGGACTTAGGATTTAGGATGAATGTTTAAAGTTTTTCTCACAAAGGACTTAAGGGAAAATAATCTTAAGGGCTGGTAATTAAATGTTATGAACTTGTTGAAGAAATCAAGAGATTTTTACAGGGAAAATTATACACTTTACCTTATCATGTTTCTCATATCTGAGAAAAAGCCAATTTATATTTCTGTTTATTTTACAGTAACTATAACCAAACAAAACCCCAAATTAAGTTTTTCTATTTAATTGAACCAAAAATTGAACTCAGTACTGTCATACCCCAAATTTTTCCTCCCCTTATATCTTTTCATCTGGTTTATTGCATTTCATTTGCATACTTACCATTAGGTCATATACATTGTTACACCGTTGGATTCATCACAAGATTACTCAAAGCATTATGTTGGAAGACTGGTGAAATTTTGACTTGGTTGACTGAAAGGTCAAATTTATGACAAAGGCATTTCCTGACATTTTTCTTGAGCAACTTGGTTCTCAATGACTTGTATATGACTTAAGGCATTATCATATGGATTTTGGACCTTTGGTTGGCTTTGTTTGAGGTTAAATTGCTTAATCTTGATTATCTGGTTATTTGAGCAAAAGTCAACAAAAGTCAATTGTTGACCAAGTAGACTTTTGGTCAAAGTTGAGGTCAATGTTCATGTTTCAACATCATGTGGCCTATGGTTGAAGAATTTCAAGAGAAATATCGATTTTGGAGTTAACTTGTTCATGAAGGTATCTTGGTAGAGTTGGAAAATTTTCCAAGTGTGGAAAGTCATAAGGTTGAACTTCAAAAATTCATAACTTCTTCATTTCTGATTGAAAATGTGCAAAATTTACATGCTTGGAAAGAGAATAATAAGATCTACAACTTTGTCAATGTAGTCTCATGTCCAAAAAGTGATTATTTTGAGAGTTACAGAGCAAAGAATTATAAGTCACTTTGTTGAATTATAGGTCATTTTCCAAAATTCCATATGTTTGTGGTCAGTTTTAGTGACTTTTATGGATTCAAATGAGAAAACTTCCAACATGAAAGTTGTATCAAATCTCAAGTCCTTTACAAAGAGTACAAGTTTTCCCATTGATTCAAAT